TTCCATCTACAGGATGGGAATAAATAACAGTTTCTACCTTGTAGGGATAAATGATTTTAAAGAGATGAGAACTGTCAGGAGGTTGAGTTGAAATGAACTTACATTTCTCATCTACTGCCATTATTTCTTCCCATGACATATGAGTCTCTTTTAAATTTATGATAACATTTCTGCTTTCCTTCCTACTCAAATTGAATTTCTCATTATTTGTATTTCACGCTGATAAAAACACTTGCTATCACATTTTTCCTAGAAATGCAGATTAAATTGTAAAAATTACTATTTTCATCTAATAAATTGGATTAACTAAATCTATAAATGACAGCTTTTTGTAGAGAAAATAATTGAAATTTTTTTATAGAATTACTATAAATAAAATCAGGTGTAGCAAGTAACAATTTTATAGGTAAAAATATTTAAAAACATAACGAGCCGCCTGTTTAAAAAACTCACATACACACTTCATTATTTCACAGAAATTATTTGATTCTCCTGTTTTAATCTTGAATTTGGCTGGATTGCATGTGAATTACTCTTTTTCCCCTTCAAGATGACAGCAGTCAGGTGGACCCATAGTAAATGAATCTACCAGGAAGAAAACAGCCTTTGAATTCACTGTATGTCTAGAAATCAAATTTGACTTATACCCGCGGGCAGTGTGTAGTGTTGGCTGGGTTTGAATCATTATTCCAAAGTGTATACTGATGTCCTGTGACTAATATGTTCCAGCTGTCTAGGTCACTGCATTGGAGTACTATTTATTTGCAGTAGTGATGCTGCAAATAGGAAAAGCTTTCCCTTTTGTTGGTTGAAAGCTTTCCTCGTAATTAGCAAAACAAGCATGCCTCTTATTTGGAGAGAGACTGGAAAGGCGGCTAAAGAGTCAATTGTACACAACCACTTTGGAAAACAATTTGGCATTACTTAGAGGAATTGAACATGTGCAATCCATAGCCCAGCTCTCCTCTCCTAGGTATATAACCTGGGGAAATTCTTGCCTGTGTGTACCAGGGAACAAGCAGTAGAATGTAAATGGCAGCATTATTCAAACTAGCAGAAAACTGAAAAATCCCTGGAGTCCTCAACAGCAGAACAGAGCAGTAAATTGTGGGCATGTTCACACAATGAGAGCTGTATCATGGTGACAAAATGAATGAACTACAGCCACGTGAGTCAACAGGGATGAATCTCAAAATCTTAAGAGGCAAGTTTTAAAAGAGCCCATACAGTATTTATTTCATTTATATTAGGCCTAGAATCAGCAAACCACAACAACAGATCGATAGCACGTATGTGGCAAAACCATAAGGAAGATCCAGGGAATGATTGACTCAAAATTCAGGCTAGTGGTGAATCTTGATGGTAGAAGTGGTGGTGAAGGATGATTAGGAGACCTGCAATTAGGAGAGACACATACACACACGGCTTCCAAAAAAGAAAAAAAAAAAATCCAAACAGCGACTGGTGTTAGGTACATGTGATTTATTTTCTTATTCTTTACGCCTATACATAGGCGTTGTTAGGTTAGTTATCACTGCAAAACAAACCTCAAGGCTTAGCACCTTAAAATGATAATACACATTTGTCATCTCACATAGTTTCCATAAGCAGGCCAAGAATTTGGGAGCAGCTAAGCTGGGTGGTTCTGACTTGCAGTCGCTCATGAGGTTGCAGTCAAGATGTTAACTGAAGCTGCCACCATCTATCTGAAGGCTTGACTGAGGCTGAAGGATCTGCTTCCAAGATGGTTCACTCACAGGGCTGCTGCCAGGAGGCCTCAGTTCCTTGCTGGTTGTTGGCAAGAGGCCTCAGTTCTTTCCCACAGTTACCTCTGCAGAGCTTCTTGAGCATGTCCTCATAACAGGACTGCCATTTTCCCTCCCAAAACAGAGATGGAAGTTGTAGTCTTTGGACTTTTGCAGTCTTACACCAGCATTTCGGCAATATTGTAGTGGTTCCCACATGCAGCCCTGTTCAGTGTGGGAGGGGACTACATAACTGCATGAATACTTGGGAGGCAGGTATCACTACAGGCCATCTTGGAGTCTGGCTACCACAGATATGCACTTTTGAATATAGTATATTTCACAGTAAACAGTTTTTAGAGACAAACTAAATTGGTGAGCCCATTTTTCTTTAGTAATAGTGCAGACATCCACTTAAATGAAAAAATTTATAAATACTGAATGTGTTACTAATCAGTACGGGGTTAAAGAAATGTTAGTGATGTAGCTGAGTATCTGAGCAGCCTGAGCTTGCCTGACAGGAATATGCCCGAGGCAGGGGAGTGTGTGGAAAGGGCCATGAGGAAAGGAACTTCAGTAATACTTGCTCTGGGATCTGTGGTATGGAGATGGGATTATATGTGCCTGGACTTCATTCTACCTGCACCTAGATCTGGCAACAATCTGAGACTCTTGATTTTGAAGAGAATTCTCCAGATCAAGGACCATTGTGATATTAAAGTCTGTTCCAGTCCCACACTTTTTCCCAAGACCATCTTCAGTGAGAAGAGAGAGAGGGTCCACCCTTGCTCCTCACATCCATGTCTAAGAGCATTGTGGAAAATGACCTGGGCAAGCAAGGGTAGGGTTCTTAGCTTAAAAATCCATGCAACAATGATATTCTAATCCATAATTTATACTTGTTTTTGATATTAACAACTTTTAAATGATAGATTCATTTGCTTAACCTTCCCTCACCAAAATTTTTGAGTACCATTAATGTTTCTGGAAGCTATATCATGTTTATTTTTCTTTCTTTTTTTTTTTTTTTGAGACGGAGTTT